TGGGATTAACGACATAAGATAACGCTAAAGAAAAAAAAATATGGAAGGAGATAAATATTTATGCCAAATCCATTTCCCCCATATCCAGTCATGATGTGAGTGTAGAGTGCCATGAATGAGCTTGCAAATCGAGAGAGAATTGCTTCTTTTCCACATGGGGAGATCTCTATGAGTAGGAGTGATGAGGATTGTGAGTATATGCTTTGCATTTTGTTCCCCAACCGTAGAACATAATTTAGAAAAACCCCAACCTTCATTATCAAAGAAATCAGAGACCAATAAAGAGTTAGAATGAGGGGAGTGAGTAAGCCATAATTGTGGGAACATCCCCAATTTTCATTTCAGAAGGAAATGTTTCCCTCTCCAATATCCCAAAAAATGAAACCATTTGCTGTATCTCTAGCATTCACCACAGCTTTCCAAATACGAGAATCTCCAACCTTCCAAGAGACCAAAGAAGGATGAATATTAGCATAATATTTTAGCCTCATAAACATGGCCCAAAGAGAGGAACCCAATCTAAATTTGAACCAAAGCTTACAAAGGTTCACTTCCACAATATGCTTTAGTGCTTTAAAATCGAGACCACCGGCCTCTTTAGGTTTACAAACTTTATGCCAAGTACTCCAGATTTTCTTTGCACCATTCCCCACCCAAAGAAATTTATTAAAGTGCTTCTCCATAGCACAAATAAGACTTTTCTTGAGATTGAACACTTGCAAAGCATATAAAGGAATGCTCTGGAGAACACTAGTAAGTAAAAAGATCCTGCCCCCAGTGGAAAGGAAAATATTTCTCCAATCATGCACTTTACGTTTGATTTTATCAATCACATCGTCCATATACACCTGCTTCCTTCTCCCCCTTATCAGATTCACCCCAAGATTTTTAAGGGGAAGAGAGACATTCTGAAAATCTGTAAACATAACACCCCATTGAATAATATGCTGCTTAACCTGTTTGTCAAAAAACAATTGACATTTGTCACTATTGAAACGAAGACTGGAGCATGTCACTATTGAAACGAAGACTGGAGCAACTTTGGAAATCCTGTAAAAGCCTCATCACTTGTTTTATGGCAAGCTTAGAAACGTTAGTAAAAATAATAACATCATCTGCATAAACAAAGTGAGAGACCATCATTTTAGCTTTGTTGGAATACTGAACTTGTGGATGTGAGAGTTGGAAACTGTTAAACATCCTAGTGAAATAATCAAAAACTAAAATGAAAATAATAGGAGAAAGATGATCTCCCTATTTGATGCCCCGAGAAGCAGTGAAGAAACCATAAGAGTTTCCATTGTCCAAGACAAAATAATAATTGTTGGCGAGTCATCTTTTAATCAAGGAGCAAAAACTTGTATTAAAACCTCTAGTTTTGAGAACATTGACGATGAAATCCCAATTTAAGGTATCAAAGGCTTCTTTGAGATCAAGTTTGATCACCAGATTGCCACCCCTGCAATTTTTATCAAGATCATGTAATATTTCCTGTGCCAACAAAATATTATCAGAAATATCACGATCTTTAATAAAGGCCGATTGTTGAGGATAAATAAGAGAAGAAAGATGAGGTTGGAGGCGAGCCACAATCACTTTATAAATGATTTTGGATATGACCGAGGTTAATGATATGAGCCTAAAATCCTTCCAGTGAGATTTAGCGGTAGACTTAGGAATGAGAACAATCAGGGCAGCAGAGAAATACTTTGTAGGGTCAACTCCTTGGAAAAAAACTTTGAATAGCCAGTACTACTTCCTTCTTAACAATGTCCCAACAAGAAATATAAAAAGTGGAGGTGAAACCATCAGGGCTAGGAGCCTTCTGTGAGCTAATATCTTTAAGGGCATTGAAAATTTCCAACTCAGTAGGGGGGTCCGACAAAGAGAGATTGGAGATCATATCTCTTTGGTCCTCAAAATAATCAGAAATAATATCAGTGCTAGGTGAAGTATCAACATAAAGAGAAGAGAAATAATCAGTTGCATTGAATCCAATCTGATCAGCATCAGTAAGAGTGGAGCCCTCATCGGTAACAATCTTGATGATGATATTTATGTTACGGCGATATTTGATAGTGACATGAAAGTATTTGGTGTTTCTGTCACCATTCTTAAAATGATTATCACAAGCTTTCTGTCTGAGAAAATCTTTCTCAATAGAGATTTTCTCTAAAAGAGTGTGGTGAGCATCCATGAGTTTTGACCCAAGATCAGGAGTAGGAGTAGCAATCTCCTGAGCCTCTAAATCATCCACCTCTTGTTGGGCCTTTAGCGCCCTAGAGTGAACATTACCAAAAATGTAAATGTTCCATCTTTTTAAATGAAGAACCGCATTTTTATGCAGGTTCCACAACGTAAGCCATGGATTCCCACTTCCATTAAAGATCCAAACCTGTTTAATCAAGTCAATGAAAGTGGTGTGAGTAGCCCAAAGAGTAGCCCACCCAAATTTTAATAAATTTAAAATGATAACGAGGAGGCTTGGAATGAAAAGCTAAAGTAAGCAGGATCAGATTATGATTCGAAGCAGCATGATTCAATTGTTTGACTTGAATAATATTATAGTAACTCAAAAACTGAGAGTTTCTCAAGAATCTATCCAAATATTGTAACATGAAACATCTCCGCCAAGTGTAAGGAGGACCAGAGAAACCTAAGTCATAAAGGCTAGCTTCCTCAATATGATCACAGAAACGATTAATAAGATTTGTGTCAACCTTAACAGTCAACCTTAGCTGTCAACCTTAACACCACCCTATCTCTCTGTAGGCGACATAATCATATTTAGATTGCCTCCAACGAACCAATTATCATTTATTTTGGCCCCCATATGAGTAAGTTGTTGCCAAAGGAGGAATTTATCCCTTAAGTGAGAGCTAGCATAGATAAACGTAGCCCAACCTGAAAACAGTTCAAATTGATATTGAATGAGAACATATTGCACATTGTCATCAATGATATTAACAGTGATATCCTTCTTCCAAAAAAGCCAAGGAATGCCAAGTTTATGGACTCTACATAAATGCTTTAAACGATTAAAGGAGTGAGGGTCCGCCACTCTTCTAATGTTCCACACCAAAACATTGAGCATTATGGCCCATGACACCCTCCCCTCTAGCAATCCTAGAGGGTAGGTGCCGGTGCTCACCTTCTGAGAGATAAGTGACATCAGTGGTATTTGATTATGGTAATTTCGTTAGTTCAGATTTCCTTCTCCCTCGTTTTCTACTGTATCTCTAAGTTTTCCATTCAGATTCAAGGACAGAGACATCAATTGCTGATGGATCCTGCTGTGAAGAGATAATGTGAGTGGAGGGATTGGAAGAGGAATGTTGGGCGGGTTCGGCATCAGGTAGGTGAATGGAAGGTTCGATTTGAAGGGCAGTGAAGATAGGGGGTTCAACCAACTCAGTAACTGTAACATCCTCGGGTAAAGGCCCTTGAGCCACCTCAGCATCCCCCATACCAGGAGTTGGGATTCTGTTAATTGCTAAGGAAGGAACAGACAAATCATTTGAACCTCCAACCGCCACAACTCCACCGCAACATCCTCAGCAAGAGGGTCAACCGAAACCACCACAGCATCAACGGTCTGCATGGATGGTTGTGAGAGTGTAGGGAGAGCAAATTTGTGTTCTCTAGGGGGCAGTCGATGGGTAGGAAATTTCCTTAATTCAGGATATAAATGGAAACAATGCTTAGAGTCATGACCAAACATGCTACAGTGCCTACAGTAATATGGATGTTTTTCAAGCAAAACCGATTGTCAGTAACCCGTATGAGGAGAGTCTATCCAAATATCTTCCGGTGGAGGTAAGGTGATATCTCTCTCAATTAATATTCTAGCAACCGAGGGCCTTGTGAGATTGAAGGTATGAGCATTAAGCATTAGAGGTTTCCCGTACATGACAACAATTGAAAATAAAATTTCGTGATTAAACAAATGCGCTTTCAGACCAGGGAGTTTAAGCCAGATAGGGATAACAAGGAGCTCGGTTTTGGGGTCAAAGTCAGTTGTCCATTTGAGGACCTTCATCCAAACATCACCAAAGTGAACAGTTCTACGGGCGAAAAGCTTTGCATAATCGTCTTCATTGGAAAGTTGTATCAAAATATGTCGGCTATCCAAGGCCCCGATCTTCCAACCTGCCGAAAATTTTAACAACTCAAAATTCTTCAACAGAAAATCATATTTCGGCAGACCATAGAGGAATTTACCAATCAAATGAAAAGAACAAGCAGTGGCGAGGATAGAGTTTTTCAGAATCGGAGAGAAAAAACACGTTTTTACCGCCCTTACGACCTTGAGGTTTAATGAAACTACTATCACCCCCAATAGCAAGCGAATCATGGTAAGAAGAAGGGAAGAGAAGAAGGGAAGGCAAACTTTGGAGACCCAGAAGAAGAAATACCCGCAGTGACCCTAGCGTAAGTTTTATCCATGACCGTAGTGTGAGGAAGAAGACGAGAGAAGAAAACCGAGAGCAAGGGGAAAACCTAAAACAAAAAACCAGAAAGATCTCACCAGGGGTTGCCCGCTAACATCTTCGCGTCGCCACGAAATCGCGTCGCCGCTAAATTTTTTTCAGGAAAAAAAACTGTTTCACATCTGTGCTCAAATTTGGGTGGGTGGATTCATTTACTAAACCCTAATTAGTGGGGATGATGTTATTGATGATGATGATGGTGGCTATCATTTTCATTAGTCTTATTCTTAACATTTGGAGTTGGCTTTATTCATTTCCATTAATAATACTTGGGGCGAACCTTCAATTATTCTGAACATTTGGTGTGTTATTGTGACGTTTTATCATGTAATTTTGGAGTTGCGTGCATGTGTTCAATCTTATGGTTTGTTTATAAGTTTCATTTTACGTGCCTGTATTCGGTCTGGTTTTAGAAATGGCTTTTAGATTTCATGACATGATATTCCAGATTAATGATTGCAGTAAGAGAAGATTCTATCTATGACTGTTATGGTTTTGTTTGAATACCAGGTTACATCATATGCCCATGGTGCATCTGATTTGCTTGGCATTCAAATTGATGCTGCTATTAATCCGGGTCAGTTTACTTCCTAAATTATAGGTTATAATTTTTCACTAAATCTTGGGCTGTTTGAATGCCACAGCTCTTACAGTTTCTAAATCTTTTACATTCTATCCAACATCTGCATAATGCAACACATCCAGTGCAATGCACCTCTTGTTTCAGGAAACAGCGGTGGTCCTGCCTTTAATGATCAGGGAGAATGTATTGGAGTTGCCTTTCAGGTAGATTTTTTATCTACTAGCCTTGGATAGCCGATAAATTGTTATTTCTGGGGGTGTTTCGAATTTATGGGGGGGTGTTTCGAATTTATATACTCCGCACACAATTGTTATTTATTTACATATCTTGCACCTACACTTCTATATTTACTTATTTAGCACTTTGGTGCTTTAAACCTATGCATGAAAGGTGAATTTGACTTTTAAAAAGTTTTAATTGTGCTATTTTTGATGTAATATTAAATAATTGAGTTTTATGTGTGTAAATATGATATCTTTGGTGTGATATGTAAAAACATCAGAATTGTGTGCTATGTAAGTAAATGCCCCTTTTTTCTTACACTTATTTTGGGATGAACATTTGGGCGAACCTTCTAAGTAAAGAAATGGCATATTTAATTAGATGGTAGCCTAGTTGTTTGACCATTATTTATGAAGTGCATCAGCCAACTTTATTATTTCTAGAATTCTTGAGTGCCTGGAGAATGACTACCCTATAAGACATATATGCTAGAAAGATTTTGTTATGCTCAACATTGGCCCTGGCGGTAGATGGTCCAGAGTTTTTGGTTGCACCTAAAAGTTAGCTATTTATTAAACTAAAACCAACTATATCTACAAGCAGTACGGCCGTCCAAACCTTGTAGAGCACATTAAAATTTCATTTATCATTTTTCAATTTCTTTAAATTCTTAATTATCGATGGTTTGTTTTTTGGGGCTGGATGTTAGGTTTTTAAATTATTAAGTTTTGGCCAGTGTATGGGCAATTTTGCCAATTTCATTAATAAATTGCTAAAATTATCATTACAAGTATCCGTGCATTTCTCACTTGAAATACGCAATTTCCCTATTTTCATGTTTATGCTAAATGTGGATATTTCGATGAACCAGAGATTTCCACTCATGACACTTAACTTCTCTGATCATGTTTGCATGCATCAATTTCGATTTGTTTTTAAAAGACCAATGTCTGGTCTCAGGTTTTGTTTCAGTAAGTAAAGTCTTATTCTAACAAGCTATTTTTCCCAACCAGGCTCAGGGGCTTAGAATTTTCAAATTTCAATGTGGGACAGCAGGATGCAAAATAAAGAAAAGTATATATTATTATTTTCTATCAATAATATATAGTCATCAAAAAATAATTAAAATAGCCACTACATAAAAAAATAAAACATTTATAAATTTATTTTTATGTTCCCTACGTTCTATACACATTTTTTTCTGTAGTGCTCATCTTCTCATCAGAAGCTTAAAATTGACAAATGTTAAATTAAAATAATGGTGAGCTATTAACGACTAGTGAATACATTTAATTCTAAATTATATTAATATAACAAATGAGAATGTAATATGTATGTTCATTGGTAAAAGTAAATCATTATACGATAAAAAATGTTTGTTAATCAAATATGATCATTTAATAAGGTCCATAACATTTAATTATATTGTAGTATATAGTTTTATTATATACATCCGAGCACTGTCTAAGTTGTGTCAATTAAAATAATTTGATATCAATATTTATTTTTTAATATATATGCACATGTTTCTTAGGGTCCCTAGTTAATTATATGAGAATATGAATTTCATCATTTTCAACATGCACATACAAATAATCTATATAACTCATATTATTCTAATGTTCATCTCGTTCAATTGAACATTTAAATAATGTGTAATAGTAACTAGTGTTCACAACAATATAAAGAATATATAAAAGAGTATAAAATTTTGAACAAAATTGTGTAATTGAATTTAAAATGTATCAAAAGCTACCAATGTAATTTGTTTAGAAGTAGCATATATTATCGTAGATTAAAATTAAGGGTACTCATTTTAGTGTTTTCAACATTTCTACTATTTAGGTCATAATTCCTTTAATTGAACACATAATATAACTAAAGGGTACTCATTTCAATGTTTTCAACATTTCTACTACTTATGTCATAATTCCTTTAACCGAACACGCATAATATAACTAAAGGAAAGTGGAGAAATCGTATTTTCTTAGTTATTCAATACTCAAATTGCAACTCTTTTCCTTAAATAAGGAACGACTAGGACAAAATTGCAACAATTACAACTTACCTAAGATAAAATAACTCAAGAAAGAAAAGAATATGGCATAATAACCCTAAAATAGTAACTAGAATTCCACACATCCCCTCTAGTTGGGTCATAACTGTTGTGAATATGCAACTTGATACTTAAATCAATGAAGCTACTTAGAGATAAAGGTTTAATGAAAACATGAACAACTTGAAGATGGGTCAGACTGTAGATTAAGTGAATACTGACTCCATTAACCTTTTCAAAGATAAAATGCCAATCAATCTCAATGTGCTTAGTCCTGTCATGATGCACTTAATTCTTTGCGATATTATTAGCGGCTTTGATATCACCAAACATCTTTATGGGATTGACCGCAGGGTATCCCAACTCACATAGTAACTTTTCGATGCACATCCTTCTTAAATTCCCAAAGAAAGTGCCCGGTACGTAGATTCTTCACTACTTCTAGAAACCACTGTTTGCTTCTTGCTCTTAAAGGCGACGAGATTTCCCTAGACATAAGAGCAATACCTAGAAATGAACCTTATGTCCTTGACTTTTCCGACCACTAGCTTCGATGTAAAACCCTACATCCCTTTTGTTTGATTTCTTAAACAGTCAAGGGTCTTCTTAAGAAATCTCAGTATTCTATAAATCATCTCTAAATATTTTTCATTCAGACTATTCATTTTTAGACTTACAATGCCGACAGAGTAAGTGATAATAGATCTAGTATGTGACAGATAGATAAGTTTACGCACCAATATATATATTAGTATCTACTTTTTTTTTTCACTAGTGTCATTTCTCCCCATCAATGTAATTTATTATTGAAATCCATAGAGTCTCAACAGGTTTACATCTCAACAATCTTGTTTCTTTTTGTAGGTCTTGGATGTACTTTCTTTGGGATTTCACAATACCCATCTTAGACTTTACTACTTATTTGTTCAGAAAGTATCTCATCACTCATAGATTCTTAATTTAAAATTTAGTGGCAAGGACCTCCTTAATATTCCCAATCTCCTTTTCATCATCACCTGATCTACATAGATTATAAGTATACCCATCTTACCTCTCTATGTATGTTTTATAATATATATATATAATTCGCTTGACATTAGAGTTATTTATTAGATTTCATAGTCTTGGCAAACTTGTCAGACCAAGCTCTTGGAGATTGTTTGAGACCATAAAGTGACTTTCTTAATTTACAAATCAGATATTTATTTGAGTCATTTTCTAGTCCTGGTGATATTTCCATATTCACTTATTCAAGGTTTCCATTCAAAAACACATTCATGATATCAAGTTGATGTATTTCTCATTCTTTGTTCACAACCATTGTTAGAAGAACCGATTACCAATATAGCCTTGAACCTCTTAATGCTCCCATTTGCTTTATGCTTGATATTGAACACTCGTTTTTACCCGGTGGATCTTTTATCTAGAGAAAACTTTTTATAGATTATGTGACATTTAGATCAAGTGTTTGGATTTCCTCTTCAACAATTTTTTCATTTTGGAATTTGAAGTGCTTCATGAATAGACTTGGCAATCTGAACTCTATCAAGATTAGATACAAAAGCTTTGTAAGTTGATTTCTTTCCATAGGCAACATAATCTTTGATATGATAATTTTTACAACTTTCCTTATTTTCTTTGTTGGATTCAACCTCTCTTGTAATTTTTGAGATGTGTCAATCCAAATTTGGTTCTGAACAATATTGTGGTTGCATATGATCTTTATTCTGCTTGACAAATTTCTTTCTCCTAGCATACACACGAAGTTCATTGTTGTCAATCTCAGATTGAATGATCTTACCTGGTAGAACTTGGGAGACATGATGGTAGAAGGAAGGAGAATAGATTGTGATGACTCTAGATCAATATGAGTATCCCGAAGTAGTGTAGTGAAATAGAATAGGTTGGGATGACGCTTGATTAGTATGAGCAATCCAGAGTAGTGTCCAGAGTCTGATATTAACCCAGACTCTTCCTTTAAATATCATATTTGAGGCAGTACAGTGGGTTTTTATCGAAGATTACATTCATGGAATTATAATATATTTTTTGTATTAGGGGAATAACAACAGGCTTAAGAAAGATACATTTAATGGATTTTGAGTTAAGTTTTGTGTGGTTTAGTTGGCGAGTGTGAACAAAAGACAAGTATTTTTAGAAGAAGATTTGATGACAAGTCTCATATGAGGGTGCTATATAAATTAGTTTTGTTATAAAAATTAGTTGTTTGAACAAGAAAAAATAAAATATAAGTTGTGTTATAAAAATTAATTTAAATGTAAAAGTTTACAGAATTGAGAAGAATATAGGGTGACTCGTAGGGAGTCTATTGGCCCCTTTGTGGCAGCTGAAACTTAATAGTAGGCTGTTGCGCAACAGCTACTACATGAAGTTGCTGAACAGAAGTTGTTGTAGATAAGCTGGTTTTTTTGTTTTTTGCAGTTTGAAAATAACTTTGTTGCAGTTATTTCTGAACAAGTGACCATTCTGCCCCTGTATAGTAATGTTGTTTGCAACAAAACTTTTCATACCAATACATTTTATATTTTGAAAGCAAAACTTCAGTGCAGAATATTATAAAATAAAGATAGACACTTCACTTAACAGTGAGTAACATAATTACTAAAATTAAGAAAAAAAACTATTAAAACAACAATTAATAATATGATTATATTATTTTTAAAATGCACCTAACATGTCACGAGCTAACCGCTCTGCTCTTCAGGGATACTCTTCATATCCAATTACTCTCAATCGTGGAATCTTTTAGTCTATTCGACCACCGAAAATAAACACAATACTCCGTGATTCTCTGTGGGCACCTCTAAAACTGTCTTTTCTAACTATGTGGTTGATGTGAAGTTAGCAGAAAACTTTGAAGTCCATAGTAGCAGTGCAATCCTTGGGAGGTATCATAAATCTTCG